CTTCCCCCTTTAACTGCATACAAACGTAGCCAGTGAGGGGCGTTCCCCTAAATGCAGTCATCAGTATGCCGCATGTCAGAATCCCAGTCACTAACCACTGGGATAAAAGGGCTTGTTTATATAGCGGGTGAGTGCGCCCATAACCCCCCAGGCCAACGGGCCTGTAACCCTTCCCTAGGATCATCGGGGATCTCCAGTGGACCTCTGACACCCCCCCGCACTGGGATGCCCGAAGTGCACACACCGGGAATCGAACCCGAGACCTTCGCTCTGATACCATGTCAGAATCCCAGTCACTAACCACTGGGATAAAAGAGCTTGTTTATATAGCGGGTGAGTGCGCCCATAACCCCCCAGGCCAACGGGCCTGTAACCCTTCCCTAGGATCATCGGGGATCTCCAGTGGACCTCTGACACCGCAACTTGAACCACCGTGGTTGAACCCCGACGGCAGGTGCCTAGTTGCGGTTTACCCCCGGAGTGCGCGACGAGGGGCGACCCCACCCAGAAACGATGGGAAATAACGAAACGAGAAACGATGAGAAAATATTACGAAACGAGAAAACAAGATAGAAGAATCTCTCTCTCTCTCTCTCTCTCTCTCTCTCTCTCTCTCTCTCTCTCTCTCTCTCTCTCTCTCTCTCTCTCTCTCTCTCTCTCTCTCTCTCTCTCTCTCTCTCTCTCTCTCTCTCTCTCTCTCTCTCTCTCTCTCTCTCTCTCTCTCTCTCTCTCGTGTATTGATAGATCAAGAAGGTACACACATGCAGAGTATGGAGCAAGCAACAAACAACACAAAGTACCAATGCTAAAGCACCCCTGCTATCACCCTACCGCCCTCGCTAAAGCTCTAAGAGGGGCTCTACTACTGCGAAACAATCCCCCAGGTGCAGCTCATGCCCAATCCCCCCCACCGGGGGGTTTTCTGCTGCTGTTGCCTCGCCCAACTTCATGAGAAGTCCCACTGACTGGGCCCTTTGAAGTCTCTCTCTCTCTCTCTCTCTCTCTCTCTCTCTCTCTCTCTCTCTCCTCTTCTCCTCTCTCTCTCTCTCTCTCTCTCTCTCTCTCTAATGGTCCGTGTATTGATAGATCAAGAAGGTACACACATGCAGAGTATGGAGCAAGCAACAAACAACACAAAGTACCAATGCTAAAGCACCCCTGCTATCACCCTACCGCCCCTCGCTAAAGCTCTAAGAGGGGCTCTACTACTGCGAAACAATCCCCCAGGTGCAGCTCATGCCCAATCCCCCCCACCGGGGGGTTTTCTGCTGCTGTTGCCTCGCCCAACTTCATGAGAAGTCCCACTGACTGGGCCCTTTGGAGGGCTACCGACCAACGCTGCCGGAATTGGTGCAAGAACTTGGCGGCATAGAAAGATTTTGAGTCGGCGTTGAAGTGGCGCCGAGCCGCTGAGTCCGCGAGAAGCTTAAGGAATACCGGAACCTCCGCGCATGGGCAGCCATAGGTGTCTACTGCGAGGGGGAAAAAGCCAACCGTCTCCGGGCGGTTGGCATAGTGCTTAATCTTCTTGTCGGCCTGCTCCCGGGCCGCCCACCCTCTGCCTTTCTGAGCCTCTGGGTCCCTGGTGCTGATGGGATCAGTGACGGTGACGTCGCAGATGTAGACGGCTCCGGTGCTTCTGTCTGTCATGGTGAAATCCGCCGTCTGTTCCTCGATGGGGCAGTAGGCGGTGGACTCCCGATGGACTATAAAGCCCGCATCTTGCGCCATGCTGACGCAAGCGTCCCGCAGCTCGTTGTGGGTGTTCGTGCGGTGCTTGCCTGTGGCGCACCGAAGCAGATGGTTCGGAAGGCGGGGGTCGGGGATGGCCGTGTGCTCAGGGCAGTCACAGTTCTTAGGGGTTGAGAATGGCAGGGCGAGACGGAAGCGCACCGCGTTCGCAAAGTGCACTGGCCCTATCCGCCGCGTCGCTGCCACTGGGACCGCCGTGATCCAATCGCCTGTGCCATAGCCAGTCAGAGAATACATCCGCTGCGTATGACCCGCGAGCGGATTCAGCCGCATGCGCCTCGTCGCTTGCACCTGTACGGCATATCTGCTGCCGAGACCTTGCACCTGCAGCCCGAGGACATGCTGCAGCCGTAGGTCAGATCGCTCGAGCCGCTCCTTCTCTAATATCTCGCGGGCGTCCGTCGGTAGCGCCTCCTCACACCCCGTCAGCCAAACGTGCAGAGGCGTGCTGCTGTCCCGCGGCAGGAGCATGTGGTCCCGCGCCTGCGCGAGCGCATTCACGTCACCCAGCGCGAGGTTGTTGAGAAACAGCGCCGCCTGGGTGAAGCTTGCTGCGAAGCCGTAGATCCCCTCGACTAGGGGATTTGTGATGCCGAGACCCCCCAAAGACGGTGGTAGCGACGCCTGCTCCCAAACCCTCGTCTGCTCGGCTTGGCAGGTCGGCATGCGGAGGTCGCAGGCGGTAAGGAGGGTGGTGAGGAGGTCCATGCCCCAATGGCTCCACTTGTCGCGGGGAAGGAGGCTCAGGGGCGTTGTCCGTGTCATGTACGCGACGCGCCTCGAAATGCAGCGCGTGATTAGCAGTGCCGCTACCTGGGGATCCGTCCGTTCAATCAGCGGCAACGGCTTCGCCATTTCGGCCAGCTGTTCTGCCAGGAAGGTAGCCGCGCCGTCGTCAGGCCCGATGAAGCTGCCTAATAGCTGCACGCCGTCTTTTGAGAACGGCACTCCTGGAGGTAGGTGGGGCGCTTGTACTGTACTCGAGCTCCATGCGGCACATTTCTGGGGGTTGTGTTCGAGCCCCAGAGGTGACAATTTGCTGGTGAAGTGGTTGAAAGCTGCTACAGTGTCTTCTGCTTCCCCGATGAACGTCACGTCGTCCGCATACGCCAAACAAAGCACACCAGGGTGTGTGTCTGCAGTGTCGCGGAGTGTTGCGTGCATCCCTGCCGCGAACAGTAGCGGGCCGAGTGGGTCCCCCTGGCGAACACCACGTTCACTTCGGAGTGGTTCAGACGCGAAATTTGCATCAAGGAGCAGCTGCGACGGGTTACCGTATGTTAATTTGACGAGCGGCAGGAGTGGCGAGAGGGCGGGGGTCTGTAACGCGGTGGCGATGGCTTTTCGCGAGATGGTGTTGAACGCGTTCCTGATGTCGGCTTGCAGCACGAGGCTAGCGGGGCGGGCGTCCAGGAAAGCCCTGGCCGCGTGGATTATTGTCTCGGCGCCACCTGGCACTGCCACGCCGTACTGTAGTGGGAGAAAGAAGTCGCGGGCAGCGTCGCCCATAGCTGACAGGGCTGCTTTGGCTGCCAGCCTCGTCAAACATTCACCGATCGCGATTGGCCGAGCCCCGCCTCCAGGTTTGGCCAAGGCGATGAGGCGCGACGCGGTCAACAAATTTGCCACCGAGTCGGGCAAATTTCCGCCCAAGATGGTGTTAACGAGGGCGTGCAGATGGGTGCTGACCAGTGCATTTGTGACCGCCGAGTCGCGCAAATGTTCAAATGTCATCCCCGACGGCCCTGCCCCCACTCCATTGTCGCATCTGCCCAACATCTTAGCGAAATCCGCGTGGGCGATTGAAAGCTTGACCCCTCCGGAGGCGTCGGCCAGATCACCTCCTCATCAGCAGCATGTGGGTGCTTCTGGCGCAGCTCCTCCAGAATTTCGGGGCAGGGCGTGCAGACTGGCGTTGACTCCAGGGCAAGGACGGCTCGTCGTAGACTGCCACGTTTCGCCAGGCCCTCGGCTCGTTTGATTACCCCGGTCGCGTCAGGCCTGTGCCGAGGCGGAGGTGGCGTGTTGACTGCCGCTACCGTGTCCCGGTACAGTTGACCCCATTCGCCACGCTGGAAAGCTCGGAGCCGGGCTTTGATTTTTGGCCAGTCCGGTCGTTGCGGCGAGGTTTGGCGAAGAGTCAGGCGCGGGAGAAACAACAGCAGCCGCCAACCTGTCTCTGACTCTGGGTTTCGTGAGAGGTGCAGTAACGGCGTCAGTAACACCAGCGAGAACAGCTGACATAGATTTGGCGGTAAACGCCGTGACAGCGAAGGCTGACGACTGTCGCACAAAGCCGCGATGTCCCAATTTCCGATTGCAACGAACAGGTCTGTTCGCTTCGCCAGTTCTTCTGGTGAGAAATAGCGGGAGTCGGAGCGGCCGGTCGCGTCGCAGCACCCCTACTCGCGGCCCGATTTCGTCGAGCACGGCCCAGTCCCGCAGGCGAGGCAGATGTTGGGATCTCCATCGTCCGATCGGCATCGTACGGCGTGCGTGCCTCCTGGGGCGTTTGCACTCGTGCTTCCCCATCCCTTGCTTCTCGTCTCCCAGAGCTCTCTCACCTTGCCTCCCTCCTCCTCTCCTTCGTGGGCTCCTCCCTATAAGAGGGGTCAGTTCCCTCTTTCGTCATCTTCATTAGCTGCTTCTAAATTAGTTTAAAGCCACCCGAGCCGCCTCCTGATATCCGTTCTCCGGTCCTCCGCGAACTCCGCTTCCTGCTACGTGGACCGTCCCGCGACTTCCTCGCGTCAGAGATGGTGATTGCTGGAGCGCCTGAGCCGTCGCCAGAGCGCGCTGCCGCCTGGTCGGCAGTCGTCGCCAGGCCTCAGTCGGCACCCGAAAAGGGGACCACGGCGTCGAAGCCTCCTGTACCGCCGGCTCTGAAACCCTCGACAGCAGACGCTGAAAAGACTCCTCCCCTCGAACCCGCGGATCCCCTTGGCGTGCGTGACTCTGGCCCGTCTGCCCCAGTTGTCGCTCCGCCCGCTCCGCTTGCTGCTCCCGCCCTCCTTGCTCCTGTTGGTGCGCCGACGGCACCTGCTCCTGCTGGGGCGCGCTGCTGACCTCCCTGTTCCTGCCCCTGGCGCGCTCGCTGTGCCGGCTGCTTCTGTCCCCGACGTGCCTGCGCCGGCGTCTGCTTCTTCCCCGAAGGCGGCGTCCGCCACCACTGTCGGGCCGGCTCCGATGGTAACGCCTCCCGGCGCGGACCCGACGGCTCCTGTTCTGCCGCCGACGGTCCCTGCTGGTCAGCCGTCCCGTTCCCCAGTCACCTGACCGCCGTCACTCACGGCCACATTCTCCAGCGCCCCAGCAGGAGCGCGAGACGTCGCGGCGCCGGCGCAACTCCCCCCGGCGTTACCCGCAGCAAGCCCAGTGGCCTGCTCACCCGGGTGGCAATGGGGGATGGCGGGGCCCCCAGGGGCGCGGCGGGCGGTATCGTCCGCCTGTGACGATGGCGGATCTTCAGCGGGAGGTGTCACGGGCCGTGCGCGAGGAGCGGGCGGCGCAGAGCCAGAGCAGTTCGCTGCGGGCTGCGCCGGCGCCCGTGGCTCCCCATCAGGTTGCACCTCCTGTTGGTCCTCCGCCCGCTGCTGCCTTTCCTCCTCCCGTACTTGCACAATCCTCTCCTGCCCCATCCGTCGCTGCGACTGCTCCCGGCGCTCGTCTGCATCTTCCACCGGTCCCGCCTGTTGCGGGCGTGGAATTCGTTGCTGCGGGGGGAGGCTCTGCGGCTCAGCACCCCCACCTCGTTGCTGCTGAAGAGCCGCTTCTTCCTGGCGGAGGCGCTCCAGCCTCCGCAGACGCGCGTTCCCGAGGCGACTCTCGGCCAGCTACATTGCCTCGCGGAGAGTCTTCACGCGCTGCGGCGCTGATCCAGGTCCTTGCTCATTCGTCCCTCCCCGTGATCCCTCCTGAGACGTTCCGCGACCGTCCGCGCGAGACCTGCTTGGATGCGGCGGACCAGCTCGCCGTGCTGCTGGCGCCCGTGTTGGCTGCGCCCGCGGAGGGAGGCGCTGCTGCTGCGGGACAGCTGGACGAGGCTGTCCGGAGCTTGAAGCGGCATTTGCGCGCAGGATCTGGAGCCGCGGCGATCGGCGCAAGCACGCTTGTGGTCCGGGAGCTGTGGCGCTCCCTGACGGGCGTTCTTCACGCCCTTGGAGCTCACCGCATGTAGTTGCGGGCTCCTTGTGCACCATGTTCGTTGAGCTTGACTAGGCTTCAGTAGGTGATGCCATGCTTGTAATGCCTTTTGTTATGAACCGCTATGTGTGCCGTATCTTGCCGTTCCCTCACGCGCGGCCGAAGGCCGCGCCGTCGAGCGTCGGCCGCCGAAGGCGGCCGGCGCGAGCGAAAAATTTCTGGCCGCCACCTAACAATGACTAGCACGGCCTTAGGGAGGCCTTAAGTAGGACCGGGAGGCAAGGGCAGAGGCTAAGGGCAGAGGGCAGAGGCTATTCCTCTCTCTCTCTCTCTCTCTCTCTCTCTCTCTCTCTCTCTCTCTCTCTCTCTCTCTCTCTCTCTCTCTCTCTCTCTCTCGCTCTCTCGAACGAGCGAAAAAAATTTCTGGCCGCCACCTAACAATGACTAGCACGGCCTTAGGGAGGCCTTAAGTAGGACCGGG